ACAAGAGCTTTATGCTAGCGCTTGCATGGCATTGAGTTGTTGTGCTTGTGCTAACGTGTTCGCTCTCCGTGCAATCCCCAAGGCCTTCATCACGATCGTAGCTCCACGGCCAAGGCCTAGGCATCGGCATTTTGAATGGAGTGGCAAAGTTGGGCACGCAGGTGTCTATTCCGATGCCGACCAAGCTGGGATGTTGCGATGGGCTTAAGGATTCCAACAAGAGCTTAACGCAAGCGCTTGCATGGCATTAAGTTGTTGTGCTTGTGCCAATGCATGCGCTCTCCGTGCAATCCCTCGGCTCGTGCCATGATCGTATCCCGGCGCCCAAGGCCCAGGCTTCGGCATCCCGGTCGTGGTAGGTGTCCTTTTTTCGAATGTCTCCATCTCATTCCTTCCGAGCTTTATAAACTATCCCTTTGAAATCTTTTGCGTCCAGCGGTGCAAACTTTGATCTTGCTTGAGTGTTTCCATGTTGCTCTTTTGGGTCGTGGTTTGCTCTTCGAGATTGATGTCTTGTGTATGCGATGGCGCATGAGTGATCATCGAGTCGTCTATGTTGGTAGGCTCTATGCTAGTGCACCGAATCGTTGGCTCGCGGTCCCCGTCATATCCGGCCCAAGAGCCTATAGGGTCTTTGCGATGATGAGGGGTTCCTATGTCGTGTACCCTTTATGGTGGAATTAGAATTTGATGTTGTCCCTCTCTGCTTTGTGCCTCCTCTAAGTGTGCTTGGTGGATCTTTGTTGTGGCGCTTGTGTTCTAGTCGAGTGGACTTCCATAGAATTAGCCCACCCGATACCGCTCATGCTTTCGGATGCGGAATTTGTTGCCTATGCGGGGTTCTCCAGCCCCGTAATAGCCCCGTTCGAGTGATCTTTGCTCGATAAGAATGACCTCTACGCTCGACTTGTCCCCTCGTCTCTTTGACGTTGGGCATTGTTCGAGTTGTGATGTCGCAAAGGAATGCTACCTGGTTGATCTTGCCGGTAGTCATATGCTTGTCTCAAAGATTAAGCCATGCATGTGTAAGTATGAACTAATTCGTACTCGTGAAACTATGAATGGCTCATTAAATCGATTATAGTTTGTTTGATGGTATTTGCTACTCGAATAACCATAGTAATTCTAGAGCTAACACGCACAATAAACACCAACTTCCGGAAGGGATGCATTTATTAGATAAAAGGTCGACGCGGGCTCGCCCATTGCTCTTATGATTGATGATAACTCGACGGATCGCACGGCCATCGTGCTAGCGATGCATCATTCAAATTTTTGCCCTATCAACTTTCGATGGTAGGATAGAGGCCTACCATGGTGGCGACGGGTGACGGAGAATTAGGATTCGATTCGGAGAGGGAGCCTAAGAAATGGCTACCACATCCAAGGATGCCATTAGGCATGCAAATTACCCAATCCCGACATAGGGAGGTAGTGACAATAAATAACAATACCGAGCTCTTCGAGTCTAGCAATTGGAATGAGTACAATCTAAATCCCTTAATGAGGATCCATTGGAGGGCAAGTCCGGTACCAACAGCCGTGGTAATTCCAGCTCCAATAGCGTATATTTAAGTTGTTGCGGTTAAAAAGCTCATAGTTGGACTTTGGGTTGGGTCGGCCGATCGGACTCAGGTGTGCATCGATCGCCTTGTCCCATCTACCGACGATGTGCTCCTAGCCTTAACTCGGCCGGGTCGTGCCTCCGGTACTATTACTTTGAAGAAATTAGAGTGCTCAAAGCAAGCCTACGCTCTGGATACATTAGCATGGGATAACATCATAGGATTTCGATCCTATTGTGTTGGCCTTCGGGATCGGAGTAATGATTAACAGGGATAGTCGAGGGCATTCGTATTTCATAGTCGGAGGTGAAATTCTTGGATTTATGAAAGATGAACAACTACGAAAGCATTTGCCAATGATGTTTTCATTAATCAAGAACGAAAGTTGGGGGCTCAAAGACGATCGAATACCGTCCTAGTCTCACATAAATGATGCCGACCGTGGATTGGCGGATGTTGCTTTTAGGACTACACCAACACCTTATGAGAAATCAAAGTTTTTGGGTTCGGGGGAGTATGGTCGCAAGGTTGAAACTTAAAGGAATTGATGGAAGGGCACCACCGGGAGTGGAGTCCGCGGCTTAATTTGACTCAACACGGGGAAACTTACCAAGTCCAGACATAGTAAGGATTGACGGATTGAGAGCTTTTTCTTTTTTTATTTAAATGTAAGTATATAAATCAAAGAACCGAGCCAAAAACCGACAAAAGTAGCATTTACAAGAAATGCAGGTATTGGGAATAGACTCCCAAAGAACCAAAGAAAAATAAGCTAGAAACGAAAGGTTGTTAAAGGAACTAGATAGTAAGCGGCTTCCAAAAACAACCATGCAAACTAATGTACCTAGCTAATCGGAACCATATACAAGGCTCAACAACATTCAAAAACGAGCCGAGTAGAGACCCAAGCCGTAGCTAGCGAGCCGCTAAGCCAGAGCTAAAGCGAGTGAACAAAAACTAGCCGCAAATGAAAGCCTACCCTTAGAAAGCCAACCGAGGCTATCAAAGCCGAAGGCTCAAAATAGAAGATCCGTTCAAAAAGCTCGACGAGCGATAGAACCGACCAAACTAGAAGGTTCAACACCTTGGTAAAGGGACTCGGTGAAGCCACTAGGCAAAAGCGGTAGGGGCCTCCTCATGAAAGTGGAGAATCATAAAGAAGAGAATCTAGAATCGCCTAAAGGCCTATCGATAGAGCAAGGCGGTGAGGCCTCGAAGGTTTGCTTGTTGCACTTCGCCCAAATAATATACAATGTGACTCCTAATGAGAGTCAACGCATCTTAGCTTCCAAATTTTTCCTCCGGGTGAGGAGGCCTCTCAAAGCACTTGAGAGGGTGGACATATGCCATCGGATACCCAACCAAAGTCCGATCTTAGCCCACAAAGCAAAGGTCCAAGAGCACTCGAAGAAGAGATGACTATGTGATTCGGCCCACTCTATAAAGAGCACGAGTGAGTGTCGGCCGTAACATAGGGCAAACGATCAATAGTTTTGAGCTTTCCTCGAACCATAAGCCAAAGAATGAGTGAATTCTACAGCGAATGCCCAAGGCTCCCAAACTCCCGAGCCTAGCCGACGGGATCACCATGAGGTCGAAGATTATCATAAGCATTGCGGGTGAAAGTGCCGAGGCCTTAAGACTCCGGTTGGCCAATCACTAGTCCCAAGTCCGCAAATTTCCCAACCATATTGTCTCTAACCGATAAAATAGATTTCCACATTGATGAAGCCATACGATGAGCTTCGCCTCCCATACACACTAGTCTTGCAAGTAAAAGTGGTGAATCCATTGAATCTAGATAAAGTCTACTTTTTGGTGTATATTCCGGAGTTGCTTAGCAAGGAAGCAAGAGTTGAGGACTCGAAATCCTAAAGGTCGAGATCTCCTTCCATCTTAGGGTAGCGGAGCCGTCGCCGAGCAATGAGAGCTAAGTGGCTTTTATTCACATCCCTAGTCTATAAGAAGTTCCTACATATACTAGTAATACGAGACATAACCGAAGCGAGAATTGAGAAGAGGCCAAGCTAGAACCGAATCAACCCGACCAAGACAAATAACAAAAGCTCAAGTTTACCAATATAGGAAAGATGCTTACCCGACCATGATTGAATGGCGGACTTTAGGCGTTTAGCAGAGGCGAGAATTGACTAGCCAAGAACTAGTGGGGGCTTAGGGGAATCCCAAGGTAATGGAAAGGAAAGACACCTTCGAGAAACCGATATCTCACAAGTAGGTCTAGCTTGAGGTCGTTGCTGACCCCCCAAAATAAATGGAGGATTTAGCGAGATTGACATGGAGCCCGGAGGTGCAACCAAAAGTCCGAAGCTATTAAGCCAAACTCATAATCGAAGCCCTATCTCCACGGCTCAAAAGCATAACATTGTCGAGCAAAGGCAATGTGTGTAATTCGATGAGGCTCATGCTTAGGGTGGAAACGAAAGTCGGCAGTAGATGAAAGTTGCTAGAGCATACGAGAAAAATATTCCATGCGAGCAATGAATAAGTAGGGGGAAAGGGGATCACCTTGTCGAATGCTCGCTTTTCCTGGAAAGAACCCAAAGAGGTTACCATTAACGAGCAATGGAGTAGGAGGAGGACTCAACGCATGCCATAACCTAATGGGTGAAGAGATTAGGGAAGCCAAGCCGCACTAGAAGGCTTCATAAGAAAGACCACCGCATAGAGTCAAAAGCCTTCCAAAAATCAACCTTTAGAAGGCATCGAGGAGAGGCTCGCTTACGCTCATACTCGTCGAAGAAGCTCCCGAAGAAGATGTATGTTATTCGACATCTATCCGCCCCTAAGAAGTCATTTTCCAAGGGACCCACAAGTTCTTTTAGAGTGAAGGCTAATAGGAAGGAGAGAATCTTGGAGATCACCTTGCACACAACGTTGCAATAAGAGATAAGCCTATAATTCGAGGGAATAGGAGTATAGGCTGATTTGGGCACTAAGGAAATAACTAAATGATTAATCTGTTTGAGAAGTTTCCCGAAGTGAAGAAGTCTTTAACCGCGAAGACAAAAATCAGCCCCAATAATACCCCAAGCTCTTTTGAAGAACGAGTGAAGTGAACCCATCGGGACCCGATGCTTTGTCATTATCTATCCCAAACAAAGTCTCCTTAATGTGATCGGCAAGCAACATTTTAGAAACTCGTTGGTTTAAGACGAGGCCCCAAATCTACCATCGAAGCATCAAAGGGAAGTGTGTCTTGAGAAGACCCAAGCAAATTCTGAAAGTAGTCAACAAACACTTCCCTAACATCTAATAGCGAAGTGGTAACTTTCCTAGTGAGGCCTTGGACGGAGGCAATGAAGTTGCGCTTGTGACGTTGGCTCATAAGGGTGTGGAAGTACCTGCTGCCCTTATCACTCTCCTTAAGGAATTTGCATTTGAGCTTTTGGCCAAAGAACATCTTCTCCGCTAATTTTAGGCGAGCCAAGTTCTACCACGAGAGACGCTCTTGCTCAAGAAGAGGGGGACCGTTTCGGTCAAGCGGAGAGACTGCTGGAGGTTATCGAGAGCAACGGCTACACAAGAGACCCGCTCAAAGATATTGCTAAAGTGAACTAAATTCGAAGTTTCGGAGGCTATTTTAGAGCCTTCGACTTACAAGACAATAGATTCATCGGCCGCCCCTAGTGTGGCATCGCCGATAAAGCTCAACCGTCAAGAGGAAGCTATCATGTTGAGCCTACATATTGAAAAACTTGAAACATTTATGAGCGGGAGCGAGACAGCTGAGCAAGATGTATCAAGGCCCGAGCATGATCTGAGAATGCTCCCGGAGGGTGGAAGTGAACAAAAACGAGTCGCTGGAGGGTAGGCTCGTGAGGGTTAGCAAGGACTCAATCAATCTTTGTCCAAACGTTACCACTATTCCAAGTGAAGTGACTACTCGAGTAATTGAGGTCACTAAGGCCCGAGTGCAAACAACAAGAGCAAAAGTTAGAAGTCTCGTAGGCTATGACATCAACCTCGTTGTGCTTATCATCCATAGAGAGAACCGAGTTAAAGTCGCCTAAGACAATCCTTGGGCTATTGGTGTGCCATCTAGGAGGTCGGCCTAAAGCTTCCGTCTCCGAATAATAGTGCTATAACCATAGACAAAAGTAGCATGAAAGGCCAACTAGAGAACAAGGCTCTTTATCTTTACATGCAACCCCCGAGTTGAGGCATCCAAAATATTAGGTTGAACTGTATCCGGGTTCCAAAATAAGACAATTTAGCCATTAGAGGTGCATCTCCAACGCTTTAGCCGGAGCTTGTGCATTTGCAAAATCTTCGAGAGGCTAAGCTTCATTTCAACTAGAGCATAAACATCCATACTTTCTTTTCTCATGATTGAGACCCCTCACATTCCGGACAAAGATTAACATAGGGTGGTGGAAGAGGTGGAGAGCCCTCTACCCCCTTTACGAGCTCCATGACTTCTACCGTGAGTGGAAGCCACATGAGAACTCGACGGAACCCCATTAGGTAATAGTTCAGCCACGATAACCATGTCGGCCCTATCTTCGCCGAGCATCGAGGCTACTAACAAGTCCATCCGTGCTAGTGAGGTGCCCATTATGGCTATCAATCCCAACCCCGGTGCCGGCCAGTCTACATAGGCCATTCCGCACCACACTAAGTGAAACCGAAGTTGTACCATCCCTAGGTCCCTAACGATCATTACTTACAAAATTAGTGAGGCTTGCCTTGTTGGTAGGTTCCAAAGTGGCTTCTCGAACTACCCGAGTAGCCGGCCTAGGCGGACTGGTTGCATCCGTAGAACCGCGGCAGAGTGTTTCCTCGACGCCGAGCATTCCGTCGGGCCTTGCCGTTGGCCCCGCCTTTAACCATCTCCCACTCCCCAAAGCCAACAACTACCTCTCGAACACATCGAGTTAGCTTGAACAGGCGCGAACCAAGACATCCCGGGGGTAGCAACAATAGGCCCTTACTATGGAGGGACACCGGCACTCGGCTCTAATCCGAGTAGCCGCATTGGCGGGAGGCGCCTAGCCATCGGATGAGCACTTGGTGCAATTGGCGGTCGAATGCCCCGAACACGATAGACCTTGCAATGAGTGGGTAGTGTTTCATAAATGACCAACTGAAGCGAGTGTGGAACCATTCGAAAGCCCGAGTGTTGACCATTCACGACAAAGCCTCCATGATATTCAACTCAACCAAGACCCCGGCATAGGATATCCGTTCCATAGAGGTCGTTAAGCGATCACATTGAATGGTTTTGCCAAGAACACTAGCAATTTTAGAGAGGCATAATAGGGACCAACATTTAAGAGGAAGGTTTGGAAAACTTCGACCAAATTGGTGCCGTAGACATTTCCTCGTTGGAGAAGTCAAAAAATTCGGGCATAGGTTTCAAGAGTAATGGTCTACCGAAGATCAAGTATGGTCCCCCATTAAGCACGGAAGATTTAGCCTCCTCGGATTCAAATTTATAGACCAACCAACCAGAATCATGGATGGACAAGGAGGCCTCACATTTCCAATGAGTAGTGATAATTATGTTCGGTGCCCTATAACCGGGGAGTTGCCGACCACATAACCAACCAAACATTTCTTTTTATAATTCACATTTAGGATCATCATCAAGTAATGTGCATGATTTAGAGGCAATTATAGCAGTTGAAATGTGTAAGCTTCGGACAAGAATCGCACTATGATTGCTAGCAAATAAGGCCTCCATTTTCCAAGAGGGTGTTTAAAGTTACCCGGAGGAGCGAGGAGGAGGGGAAGCCGATCCGGGACTTTGATTAGGGCATTCCAAGCCAATAAAAGGGGAGGAAGATGAGCTAGAGTCGGAGGAGGAGCTCGGCTTCCGATAGTTGAAGTCTCAATCGAAGGCCGGTGCTCAAGTGTCGGGTCCCTTTGAGCGGGAAGACCATTTTTGAATTTCATTAGGCGGGAAGTTGAATTACCGACTAGGTTGAAGCCGAGTGGAGGAAGAAGTAGCTTCCCTTGAAGCGAAGAGGAGGGCAAGCCGGGCCTACGGAGAGCCAATGAGAAGGAAGGTCAACCTAGCAAACTAGGGTTAAACAAGGGAGGATCCCACATGACAAAAAGAAGGAGCACGGTAGTGGCCGAGGAGCACGGTAGTGGTCGAGGAACACAACAACCTCTCGAGGAAGGGAAGAAGCCAAGCTTGGAGATGACGAGTATCGGGTGGGAGGAGCCTTCGCCCAAAGCTAAGAAGCTACAATGAGAGGCATGACCAAGCTATAGAACCGAAACGAGAAGCAAGAGACATGACCTATCTACGAGGGAGGCTTGGCCGGGCCTCGACGCACGGAGTGGAAGGCAAGATACGGCGAGTAACCACACCAAGAGGAGCCGGACCTCGCCCTGCTGGGGCCGACTACAAAGACACCGGTAGACGCCAATAGAGGAGTATGAAGACCCATATAGAAGAAGCATCCAAGCTCGACGCCCCCTACCAAGAGGAGTAGGCGGTAGAAACAAGTACCAATAAGCAAGCTTACGGAGCAAAGGCGAGCAATGATAGGCCCAAACGGAGGCGGGACAACGAGGAGCAAGAGACTAGAGGCCGAACTAGTACTAAGCATATACAAAATTGGACTTAACATCTCGATTAAAGGCGGACACCCAAGCCGGAAAGAATACTAGTCGATCTGCTAGGAGAGGCTAGGCTCGGCCTCTGCTGCTCGAAGGAGAAAGTTGAACACGGTAAGGAACCAAGCCTAGTAAAGCCCACCTAGAATATGGGATAATAACGAAGAAGCACCCGGAGGAGAGCTACACTAACCGGACCCCTTCTACTAAGAGAAAAAGCCAACAAGGACAAAAGCACCGAGCGTAGTCGGACCTCTTCTAATTCCGAGCCAACTCTTAATTTTCAACCGGAGGGTTGCTCGACCGATTACAAGAGAAGAACAAATGGCTATGTGACTCATTAGCTTGGCCACAAAGAAGGCATGCTTCACTCGGTAGGGAGAAAGCGAGAGATGATCTCGAGTTTTTAAGGCACGTCGAGAAGCAAGACATAGAATGAAGGCATGCCTCGACAATTACCGGGACTCCTAAATCACCCGACCCCATCTCACTCGTATCCCCTGTTGGTCTAACTCGGGCATATGCTATATGAGAAAAGTGTCCCTCACCCGAGTGCCACCGAGCTAGCTCTCAATAGCTCCCTCTCTATTAACATATTTTACAACAAGCAAGTCTTTCAAATCGATAGTGGCTTTCCACAAAGGCAAAGCATTTTAGTGGGCTTCTACATCCCACACTCGGCGATCTTGCAAGTAGAAATGGTGGATCCGGTGAATCCAAATGGAGTCGGCTTTGAGGTAAATGTCCCGGAGATGCTCGAGCTAGGAAACTTTGATTTCTCACTTTAATGTCTAAGAGGCCTAAGGCCTTTCCTTTAGGGAGACGAGAGGTGTTTCCAAGCTACCAACGCCAAGGAGCTCCTCCGAACATCTCTAATCCATAAAAAGTTTCGACACATACCGATGATACAAGCAATAACTATAGCGAGAATAGGAAATATAGATAGCCGGAATTAGATCATGTCGTAGAGAGCGATCGTAACGGCTCCTACCTTCCCACGTAGGACATGTGCTTACCCATCCGGCTACGGAGCGCGGATTCAAGATCGTGAAACAAAGGAGCAAATTGACTAGCAAGCAAGCAATGAGGACTTAGAAGGACCCCCAAGTATTTAAACGAGAAGGTGCCCTTATAGAAACTAGTTTCATGGAGGATAGAGTTTTTCAAGTCGTCGCCCACCCCTCCGAAGAAGAAAATCGAGGACTTGGCCACATTAATGGTCGGGCCGGATGTTCTCCCGAAGAGAGACAAGCTGGTTGGACGGAATCCGGATAGAGGCTACATCTCCATGGCTAAATAGCAACATATCATCCATAAATACAAGGTGGGTGATGTCATGGAACCCACATTTAGGGTGACGATTGAAGCTGGAAGTCCTAATGGCTACCCGAAGTAAACGGGAGAAATATTCCATGCAAATCACAAAAAGATAGGGCGAAAGTGGGTCTCCTTGCTCGACTCGTGTCGTGCCCGGGAAGAACCCAAACAGGCCCCCATTAATTAAAATGGATTAGGAAGGCGACTCCACACATGCACTAATCCGAGTCAACAAATCTAATCGAGAAGCCTAACTATAAGAGAAGCTATTTCGGGAAGCCCCACTACACAAAGTTGAAGGCCTTATGGAAATCGATTTTCAATAGGCACCTAAGAGAAGCTCTCTTTTGACCATGCATATGAAGCAACTCCCGAACCAAGAAAATATTGTCGGACATTTTCCTACCCCTAAGAAGGCGCTCCGCATGGGACTTACAAGGTCCAAAAGTACCGGGGAAAGCCTAGAGGAAATTATCTTGGATATCACCTTATAAACTACATTGTAGCACGAAATCGATCCGTAGTCACTAAACAAAGAAGCGTTGGCCATTTTAGGGACTAAAGCTATAACGAGTGGTCGACTCGTTTCAAGAGCTTCCCATAAACAAAAAAAAATCTTTAACCACCGCACAAACATCACTCCCAATAATATCCCAAGCCTCGCTTCAAGAAGAAAGAAGAGTAACCATTCGGACCCGGGGCTTTATCATTGTCTATGCTTGAACAATGTCTTCTTGATAACATCCTTTGTAACCGGAGCGAGGGGAAAGTCATGGCTGTCCATTTTTAACTAAGGCCCGCTAGCAACAATATTCGGGTCTAGGGGGACCGTATCCAAAGAGGTACCCAAGAGGTTCCGATAGTAAGAGACAAACTCCTCTCCGACTTCTTTAATTAAGGTGGTAAGTCGCCCATCTCTCTGCTGAAGAGCCGTAATGTGGTTGGCTTTGTGCTTCCGATTCATAAGGCCATGAAAGAAGCTAGTGCCTTTGTCGCAATCTTTTAGGAACTTACACTTTAATTTCTAGCCGAAAAAACATCTTTTTGAAGCCTTGAGATTAACCAGATTTAATCGAAGCCTCTTCTCGATCTTACGGAGCTCCAAATTATCCCTATCATTCGACGCGCTACCTAGATAGCAAGCAAGTCATATTCGGCTCTAGCAACTCTTTAGGAGATGTGGCTGAAATGGAGTGTATTTAGCTGCTGAAGAGGTCTGTTTTAGGGACTTTAGCTTCCGACAAAGGACATACATGGGGGTTCCTCTTATTCTAGCATCCTAACAATTGGCCATTGTTTTAGGAAAATCAATGTGGGCAAACCACATGTTGAAGAATTTGAAGCTTCGATTTCCGGAATGAACGTGGGAGCCCAAGTCCACCAAAACGAAGCATGATCCAAAAAAGCACCCGAGGGGTCGAAATGAACATGAGCGAGTAGCCGTGTGGAGGACCAAAGAGGGTTAGCTAAGTCTCGATCAATTTTAGTCCATACATTTGCCCCATTCCAAGTGAAATGGCTCCCTGTGTAGTTAAGGTCGGTTAACCCAAGGTCCGAGCAACAAGTTTGGAAGTCGGTAGTCTCTTAGTTGGAGACAGTAGTACCCTTATGTTTATCGGCTTATGAGAGAACCGAGTTGAAGTCCCTCGGGAGGAGCCGAGGACCGGTCGGCTACCAGCGACAAAGATCCTCCCACAACCCTCTTCTAGAAATGATGGAGTGTAACCGATAAACAAAAGTTGCATTAAAAGAAATTTGTTGTACAAGATCGGTGATCCGAACATTAAGGCCTCGAATAGACACATTCAACATATCAACCATTACGGTGTTGGGATTCCAAAAAAGAGCAATATGGGTAGTGCCCGCAACCAAACCATTGGACATAAAACTCCATTTCTTGAGTCGAAGTCTATGCATACCGACAAGCTTAGTCGAACCGAGCTTTGTTTCCACAAAGGCACAAACATCTACCCTCTTATTCTTCATGAGATGAACTCGCCTCATCGTCGCTTCGGAGGATTATTAAGCCCTCGACATTCTAGCTAAAAATGATCATGTATGAGTCGAAGAGGCCGAGCCCCTTCGACTCCCACTTCTACTCGTCCCGACCCCTCTCGCTAGCGACCTACCTTGGCACAAGTTTGCCGGCTATCAATTTAACTTGTTTGATCGGGGGAGCCATATTTGAGGTCTCAATAGAACCTAGAACATTAAGACATTCAGCTTCCCTGTCGGTAACCTCCCCTCCTCTGTTAGTCCCGGATCATTCTCTCGATTCCCCTATCCATAATAGGTCCTACAAGAACACCCTGCAGTCCGCCTAGAGATCCATTCCTATAAGCACCCCGATCCGGTCCGCCCCTATCTTCCCGACCTTGTAGGTCGGCAAACCCCGCATTGTGACTACTTAGCCCACCCTTGTCACCGCTAGTGCTACCGTCCACCCCAAGCCTAACCTCGAGGGGCACGGAGATAGTGGCTAACCCCGGACCTATTTCAAATTCATTCATCACATGTTTACCTTTATTAGGAACCCTGCGTGAGTTTTTTGGCGGTGACTATCTCCCACTCCTTGAAAGCATCGGCAACTTCTAGGAGCATGGGGTCAACGGGCATTGGGACTTCGAGCAAGATGAGCATTGGCGGAAGAACCCAACCGTCGAAACACACCGAGAGCTCTTTCTTTTTTTATTTAAATGTAAGTATATAAATCAAAGGTGAAACCAATTGGAGAACTAGCAAGAGTAACATATACAAGATTTAAAAAAATTAGGAACGAGCTCCTAAAGAAACTAAACCAGAGCTATATCTATATGGTTGTTCAAGGAATCAAACTAGTTGAGATTCCAAGAAGAACCAAACAGAAACTAATAGAAGCTAGTCTGGAACCATGTACTAAAGCTCAACGACGATACAAAAACTTTGCTGAGAAAGCAAAAATGAAAACTAATAGTTTACAAAATCAGCTATGAGTATAGCAGAAAAACGTAAACCGAGTAGAGTCGGCAGAGACTGGGGTAAGTAGAAACCCAGATTAGAAAGGTAGCCAAGTATCGGCTATTAGCGAACAAAAACAAAAACCTACAAGAACGACGAACGACGGACTAGTGGAGAGCCAACGGGGGCTAAATAGAAGGCTTGACCATGCGACGGGACCGAAACGAACCAAGAGATCTCTACAGTCGGCTAGGCTCGCCTAAGTAGGTGCCGGCGAGTGCTAACGACGAGAGGAAGCCGGATAGAACCAAAAGCGGCCTCTCGGTTAGAGGCGGACGCCCAAGCTAGAGCTATACTTGGTCTGCTGGCGAAGAGAGGCTAGGCTACGGGGCAATAGCCAAGGAAGACTAACCGGACCCCTCTTGCCAAGAGTAGAAACCAACAAGAATAGAAACCATGGGCATGCAAATGGAGGAACTACTAACATACATGAATAAAGAGCACCACGAAAGTCGAAGAAAACCGGACACGAGTGACCACCCAAATAATTCATAAGACCCGGCGATACATGCGGATGGGGAAGCAAAAGATGCAAGCCGGAGCAGGTAGCACATGGCATAAGCTCTTAGTGACGGTCGGATGCGGGAACGATCAAGCCGGAGCAGACCATAGCAAAGAGCCATCCGTATAGGTAACAAAACCCACTATAGTTTTCGAGAAAAAGGATTGGCGAGCGCTAACGGCAGATGAAGCTAGACAG